CCCCAAAACCCCAAAACCCCAAAACCCCAAAACCCCAAAACCCCAAAACCCCAAAACCCCATCACTGTTTGCAAAATTGAGTATGCGAAAGATAACTGTTATTTACATATTAAATAACTAACAGGAAGAATTTCGGGTGAAAGCTACCTTGTTATTATGATTACCATTTCTAATTTTAATTTAAAAATGGATGCTCTGGTCTTAAATTTACTTATGATGGGTACTAGTCTAAGCTAAATTAGCTTGAAATGTATATCTGCAATTAGAAATGATCATGCCTTATGGCTAACTTTCGTGGGGTGAGGTTCAGAAACATAATAATATCATATATGCTAGATAAAATTAGGTGAATTACTAAAGCAACCATTTAGGTAAAATATTTCTTCGTATTTTTAGAGCAAAGTCTGGCCTGATCATTTCTGTTTATATCCAAATTTTACAAAATTTCACAAGTTAACTACCATTATTCTAAAATTGGAATTTCTGGCTGGGTCAGCACAAAAATTTTGAAAATTTTAAACTATGCTAAGAATCGAGTCAGGAATTATCAAACTGTTTCAGAATTAATTAAGGTTACAAGCTCCCTTCTATTGGGGATGTCTCTTCAGAGGAATCTGTGTCTTATAAATCTCTTGTTTGATAGGAGTATACTTTGGGTTGTTCTTCCCATGCTTTTGGACATTATTCAATCAATTCTGAATAATCTGAGGCGCACGCGAGTTGTGCTCTTCAATAAAACTTATTCATTGGGTCACTCAGATCCTGTTGCTATCAAGTGAATTAAGGTGGATTATATTCTTGTTGGAAGGGTCTTCAATACTTTCTTTAATTTTCTTCTTCAACCCTTCTATCTTTTTAAACAGCTCTTCCATATCTACCTTGGGTTTTGCAACTGGAGGCCTTTGAATTCGGACAAGAGAAGAAATATCACTGGTCTTTTCAGTTGAAATAATACTTTCGTTTCGGATCTCAAGATGAGATTCATTATACTTATTTCTGCTTCAGTTGTCTATAAGCATCAGGATCTCTCATGTTTGTGGCGGGTTGCTTTGGCATATTGACATACTTCCTTTTTCTCTGTTCTTGTGCCCTCAGATACATTTCATCTTGTGCTCCCGATGGTTGGTTAGATGTCTTGTTTTCTGGTGGTGCTGAGGGAGCTCCTCTTGACCTTAAGGCTTCCTTAAGTTTTTCTCTAAGTATCATGTCCCATCTGAGGGAGTCAACTTCTTCTCTCTTAGGCATCTCTAGTTTGTATCCACTGGATTGCCATTGAGCTAATTTCTCGATCCAAATATCAAGGGAAAGAAGGATCTTAAATTTCTCCTTACAGCTAGTAATATTAATATCGCTTTTGTCCTTCCTGTTACCACCGTTAACATCTAGTGAGTACTCATCGGTAATCCACTTCATCAAAAATTTCCCATCTTCCTTATAAATTTTCGAGATTGTCTGGCCAATAATATTATAAGGTTTCTGAAGAATTTGGTCAGCCTTAGCTTCCTGTCCCATCTTGTGCAGGAACATTTTACATTTGTTGAACACAGTCTCTATCCATTTATTTCTGAGCCAATAGACTATCAAGTTTTACTGATCTGTGGCGGGCGTCTTGCCTTGCAGCACCAGTGTTTCTGTATTGCATATTTGACATTTTTACACTTTTTTATTATTATCATCTCAATTCCAAATTCTTGATTAGGGGTTTTGGGGTTTTGGGGTTTTGGGGTTTTGGGG